CTCCTGGAGGGCTTTAAGCCCTCAGACCCAGCAGAGCTGACAGGGTCTGGCCCCAGACCGCCACCCACCCTGCTCGCCTTTGTTCTTCTTTCACAGCACACCTTCAGGGGGATCGGAGAGTGCACGTCTTCCAAGGAACAACCGGGATGCTGCTTTTCCATCAGAAGGACTGGGGAACACTTTGCTGCTTTCCCCTTCCATGCTTTCTTAATCCTCAGCTCTGGTTTCTATAAGGAAGCATCTCCTAAACCAGCCCCACACACTGTTAGGTGTCGGAGCAGCTCTGCATTTGTTCTACCCTATCTCCAGCATCTCCAGGTCCTCACCAAGAGCCTGAGAGAGATCCCATCACCCTCATCCCATGGGGAGAGATGTCCCGTGCTCCTGCGGGTTATCTGGATGCATAAGGGAGAGACTGGACCTACGTCCAGCATCGAGCTTGTGGGTTCCTTTGGGATTTAAACACAGCAGAAACCCCAAGCAGAGGGATTGGTTTCACCCCATGGGTCAAAACAAGGCCCAGGCACCCCACAGCATCTCCTTGGCAATGGCCGGGCAAATCTGCTCAGCACCGCCTGTCCGGCCAGCTCCTAAAAATGCCAGGAGAAGGCAAAATGCCCCCTTGTGAAACCACAAAACCCAATCCAAAGGCTCCCTCCTTCCTGAGTAATCAACTGTAGATTAAAAAAGGTCGATAACGACGTGTCAAGTGCCTCCCCAGGAGGCGAGGAGACAACTTCATCTGCACAGGGGTGGGAAATGGGCTCAACAGTTTGGCTTTTGTTCCCTTTTCTTTTGCAAAGGAACACCCCAGTGACCAAAAGTACGAGGGAATGGGAGGAGGGAATGAAATCATGGACATGTCATTCATTTGTGGGGATGGGAGGGAAGATTTGAGCCAAGCCTCAGTTTCCCCGTCACCCATTGCAATGGTGACGCTGGAGCTCATCCCAAAGCCTGCATCCCTGCCCTCCAGCAGCCTGGGTACAGCTTCAGCCCCCATCCCATTCCGGAGATGTCCCCGATGGCCACCACAGAGTCCACCAGCCATGGGGACATCCTCATGCTTGGCTTTGTGTGGCAGCAGAGGACAGCTCTGCTCTGGAAGCAAACCAGGACCATCAGTGGGGCTGAATGCAGCCTGGCCAAGCTCTCCATGCCCAGGGCAGGAGGAGGCAGGCGGGATCGCTTCCCCAGGTAGAGAAAATCATCTCCTTCCACCAAAAAAGGGGTGTTTTAAGTATGAAGAATCACCTGGATCCTCATGCCAGAGGGAGGTCTCTGTGCCAGGGCTGCGAACAGAACACATGGAAACAGGGGGATTTCACTCAATTGATATTTTAACCCCAAAACGTCAAGTTTTTGCTTCAGCCTCATGGCAGTGCAGCCGCTCACCAGCCCTGAGCCAGCACCTCTGCTGCTGGCCTTGACCTTGAACCCATCCTCCTCCTTACTTCTCCTGGGAACAGCCCCAACCCACAGTGACACCGAGGCCAGGGAACCCCCCCTTGTGTCACCTCATGTGGGGCATCCTCCAGCTCCCAGTGCCAGAAGAAGGACCACGATGGAGCAAAGCAAACCCAAAGACCCCCCCATTTAACCAATTCCTCCCTGATTTTAACCTCATGAGCCCCAAGGCTGCGAAATCACCCTCAGCTCCCTGGATCCCTGTTAATGGATCCTTGTTCCTCTGTTGAATTGAGAAATTAAAGTGCATTCACACCATTCTCCCTCCGTTGTCATCTTATCTGGGTGTCTAGCGAGCAGCCTGGCACGTTACAGAATCCATCAGCATTGAGCCTTTGTAGCTCCCAAAATTCATAATTAACAAAATACTCCTATTCACTTGTTGGTGTCATTTAATTAGTTGCCCATTAAATAGACACTAAAGTATCAGCTATTCCCCAACAGAGCAAATAATTGTTTTCTATCCTCTTAGAAGTTATCGCTTATTGTAACTATCACAATTCATTAGGAGCTGCCGAGCAGCGGGAGGAGAAGGTGGGGAAGGACTGGAGGAAGGACAGGGGGTGGCAGGGCCAGGTGTGCCCTTGGCTGAGCCAGGACTTCCCCGTGATGCTCCTGTTGTGCCCAGCACAGGGGTTACCAGCACCCAGCGCAGGATCAGCCCGCTCTGGGTACTGCATCCAGCCCGGATCTGCTAGTGATGCTGAAGGGTCAAGGACAAGGATGGGGATGAGGATGCAGGGGCTCCCCGCCAGCTCCCCAGTCCCCATGGGAAGCCAGGGAAGCAGCAGGCAGCCCCCTGCCAGGGCAGCTCTATTGCACAGAAGCCGTTTATCTGGATCCCAGGAAAGATTTAATTTACAGTGGAAATGTCTCAAGCAAAGACCTCCCTGGGAGGAATGAACCTGTTTAAGAACATCATTTTCTCTGTGCTTGGATTATGCCTTTAGCTGCTGCAATGCCCCAGAGCTGGAGCAGCTCCGGTGTGGGATGGGAGCCAAGAGGGGTCTGGGGCAGGGACTGGGAATTAGGGTGGGAAAAGCAGCCCCAAACCCTGCCCTGGAGCTGTGGCAGCTGGTACAGAGCATCATCCTTCCCCCAAGGCCTGGTGCTGGCCCTGCCAGTGTCCAGGGGATGTCCACATGCGTACATGTATGAATGTGCACGTGCAGGTGAGCGTGCATGGATACATGCATGTTTGCACCTGTGTGCACGTGTGTGATGTGTATGCACGTATGTGTGCTGGGTGCACCCCCAGAGCAGGAGCTCAGGGAGGGGATCCTCCCCCTCGGCTGTGCTCTGGGGAGACCCCCCCTGCAGCCCTGATCCAGCTCTGGGGAACAGCACAAGAGGGACATGGAGCTGCTGGAGCAAGGCCAGAGGAGACCCTGGAGCTGCTGCGAGGGCTGGAGCAGCTCTGCTCTGGAGCCAGGCTGAGAAAGCTGGGCTGGGGCAGCTGGAGAAGAGAAGGCTCCTGAAGGGGACACCTTAGAGCAGCTCCAGTGCCTAAAGGGGCTCCAGGAAACCTGGAGAGGGGCTTTGGACAAGGGATGGAGGGATAGGACAAGGGGAATGGCTTTAACCTGCCAGAAGGGGAGCTTGAGATGAGCTCTGAGGCAGAAGTTCTTCCCTGTGAGGGTCCCTTCCAACCCAAACCACGCTGTGGTTCTATGGAGGTAACATCTGTGGGTTCCCTGGAGTATACACAAGTGCTTGATTTAGTGTTGGACAGTAAAGAATAAACCAGAGCAATAAATCCCCCACACAGTTCTTGCAAAAAGCCATCTATTTCAGTTTTCACTGTATAAAAAACCCAAGGGAAACTGGACAGGGAATATACAAACCACGTGTGGACCTTGAAAAATTTTTACCAATTTCAAACGATCTGGGGTAAGGGTTTAATCCTCTATGGTACAGCCAAACCCAAATTCCTTTCAATTCCTACTTTTCCTTCCTCCCCAGAGAAGGGAGGTTGGAAAGAAGCTGTACAGTGACACTGTAGCCTGTGGAGGGCAGCCTGTCACATCGAGCTGCCTCAGTGCTTTCCCAGTGCCATGAATGTGAGGGGGACTGGCACCAGCGAGAAGCAAAGTCAATCCCACCTCTGTAAACCAAGGCTCATGAGGGCATGGATCCCATCTCCCTGTTGACTTCACTGGATCTCCCCCATGTACAGCCTTTTGTCACTGGATGCAGAGAGAACTGAGGGAGAAAGAGGGGAAAGGAGGGATATGTTAAACACAACAGTTTGAGATCACCACAAAACACAGAGTTGGAACTGAACTCGTTTCACTCGCTGCTTGTGAGCCAGAAAGCCAAATTTCCTTTGCTCCCCAAAACCACTTCATGGCATTGCTCCTCTGACCCACTGCACACCATGGCTGCTGTTCCTCCAGCCCAAGACAGGCACAACCACACAGTGCCTGCAATGTGTGAGCATTAAAACAGTAAAGAGAGGTGTATGAACACGCTGGAAGTGCTCTGGAGCATCCCAATGGAGTTGTTGTCACTATAGGGAGCATCCAGCCCGCAGGCCGCTAGAGGGCACAGGCTGCCCAAGGAAGCCTCGATGATGGTGGCAGAGATCCTGAACAGGGTAAAGGCAGCTCCAACACACCACTTGCACCCCGAAAAGGCTCTTCAGGGGATTCAATACACAAGAAGGAGGCAGAAGCACCACTCTTGACACTGACAACGGCTTCGTGTGAGCCCAGGAGAGGTTTGGTGGGTTTCTGTGTGAACTCACAGACTGGTGTATGTCTGCTGAGCATAGAATCACAGACTGGTTTGGGTTGGAAGGGAGCTTAAAGCACCCTGCTCTAGTGGAAGGTGTCCCTGCCTGTGGCAGGGGGTTGCAACTGGATGAGCTTTAAGGTCCCTTCAACACAAACCACTGTTATTCCATGAAATCTGTCTGACACTCAGGGCCACAAGCAGTTGTGGGGCTGTTTCCCAGAGGACCAGCAGTTCAGCCAGCCCTGGAACTATCACCCCATCTGTCTTCAGGTGGAGAGCACTTACTAATGGGTTCCTCTGGGTGGAAAGCCAGCTCATTCACTGACCCAGCATGGCCTGGCAGCTTGTACAGAATCCTCCTGGATGTGGTGTCCCACACGTAGACAAACCTACAAGAGAGGCATTGTGAGTGCATGGAGGAGGGAAAGCAACTGCCCCCCTCCAACAGCTCATCCCTGGCCTGACACAGATCCAGCTCCTGCTGTGGAAACGTCCAGAGGAGGTTTTGGTCGGATATTAGGAACAATTCCTTGCCCAGAGGGTGCTCAGGCATTGGAACACGTTGCCCAGGGCAGTGCTGGAGGCCCCGGCCCTGCCAAGTGTTCACCCTGGGTAGATGAGGCCTCAGTGCCAGGGGTTAGTGGTGGCCTTGGCACTGCTGGGGAGCAGTTGGACTGGATGAGCTTAAAGGTCTTTTCCAACCTGGTTGATTCTGTGGTTCTAATCACTGGGAAGTTATTTTGTACACAGACAAACGACATATTTATTTAACCTTGCTCTGCTTTCCCAGCACAAACTCCTTCTCGAAACCCAACTGAAAAGCTCAGAGATGGCAGAGAGACTTGCACAGCCTTGTCTAACCTCCCTGGGACCTGGCTGCCTGCTCTTCCCCAGGGAGCATCACCACAAAGCTGCTGTCACACCTCAGAGCTACACCAGCACCTGCAGAACTAACCCAATGGCCCAAAGCTTGGAGGGACATAGGCATCCCTCCACCATGTGCTGCAAAGGAGTCACAGCTCAGCCACTTGCTGTGACAGCTGCCCCACTATATCTGGCCAGTGAGAGCTAAAGTTCTCCCTCTCCTCTATCAGGAACTCATTAATCTGTTGATTACTGCTCCAAGCCCTGGCCTCCAGCCTGCAGGGATTCCTGTCTCTATGGCACTGAGGGTGCATCTGGATCTGCTCCAGTGGCAGTTGCTATCCTTCACAGTGACCTTCAGTGTCTGGTATGGACCCTCTGCTGGCTTCCTCCCTCTGCCCCTTCCACTCCTCAGCTGCCTTAGTTTACAGCATATCACACTTTAAAGTCCAACATGTGCTAATTTAGGCAGATCTTTAGTTCATACTTACTCATGAATTAAAGTAAATATCAAGAGTGACCCTTGGAACACCACTGGTGCCTCCTACAAGCTGCCACACAGCAATTTAACTAGTGTTTGTGGTCCTCAGCAGTATAACCCCCACATTACACACGCTTCCCAGACTCCCTGTGTCCTGAAGAGTCTCACAAGCACCTGCTAGTGCAACCACATGGGTCCTAGTCCACCATCAACCAAGCTCCTGTCATCTGCTGGTCCTGGGGTGAGGTCCCGTGGTTGAACATAAGCAGTAAGGCCAATCTCTAGTCAGCTTTTGACAATAAGAAGAAGATTTTACAACTATATGGTGCTCCTCCACTGCCACAAAGGCAACAGAAACACGTCACTGTAGTAAATCAGGGCAGACAATGTGATCCAACTCATTCCAGGAGTGCCTGGATTCATGGTAACAGGGAAGGCAGCAGCAACTCACCTGTCAGCCGAGCCCCCTGCGATTTTACTCCCATCTGGAGACCAAGAACACCTCAGAAGGTTCTAAAATGAAAGAGCAAGCACAGAGCTGTTTCCAAAGGAAGATTTAGTCTTCCCCTTCTACTCGAGTTAAAATCACCACAAGACTTGCAACACCACGAGCACCACTTTAATGATCCCCCTTTGGAAGATGAGCTGGTAATCACAGATTTTAGTTTACGGCTGGCAACATCCAGTGCCTTGTTATTTTACACCAACTAGGTAGTAAACGTAAAAAATACTTAATTTACAGCTAATTACAGTGCAGTGGGCAAAGAAATCTGGTTACTGCAGCTTTAAGTGGAATCCCACTTTGTGCATTCATCTTTCTTTGAGTTCTTATTAAAGCCTTTCTGGTTTAAAGTTGAATTGAAGAAACAATCAGGAGAGCAGTGAATAGCAGCAGCATTTCACACACCCCACGTTCTGCTCTGCAGGACACTCACCTTCTCAAAGTTGTGTACATTGCCCTGGAAGATCTTCACACATCTCTCCTTCGGGGCGAAGGGCCGCACGTCCCAGATGCGAACTGCAACACAGAGCTCACAGTCACCAGTGGAAGGTGGCAAAGGGCAGCTTCAATATTGTTCCTTTTCCTAAGACATGCTGCTAATGAGCAAAGCTCCTTGTTCTCTCCATAGAACCCAGCCTGGTTTGGGTTGGAAAGGACCTTAAAGCTCATCCAGTTCCAACCCCCTGCCATGGGCAGGGACACCTTCTACTAGAGCAGGTTGCTCCAAGCCCCTGTGTCCAACCCAGCCTTGAACACTGCCAGGGGTGGGGCAGCCACAGCTTCTCTGGGCACCCTGTGCCAGCGCCTCAGCACCCTCATAGTGAAATTTTAACACCAGAAGCAAAGGGAAAGCAGCAGCTTCCCCCTGAAGAAAGCTCTGGTGTGAAAGGTAAAACACAGACATTTCTCATCACATCAAGACCTCACCAAAAGGAGGGAAAAAATGCAAACCAACTGTTACACAAATGAGGCACCATCTCCTTACACGAACCTTCTCTTTGTTTGAACACTCCATGACCTGATCAGCTTTACTGAACACCCCTCAGGAGGCAGTTTGGAATCTGCTGTCATTCCCACTGCAGGGAAAGATCCAAACCTCCCTGACAAGAGCCAGGCTGAGGCTGTGTTCAACTGTCTGTGCAAACAACGTGTGCCACAGTGTGTCCTCCCTGCCCTTTGGAGCTGTGACAAACCCTCCACTGCAGCTGCTCCCTCCCTGCAAAGGACACGACTGTCACCGGTGTAACAAGAATTCCAGCTTTATCTCTGGAGCCAGACTCCCTTCAGCTTATCCCCATGGCTGGATCTTGGGTTTCTACATCGCACACGTTGAGCTGCTCCTAAACATGGTGCAAAGCTGGTGCAAGAGAGCAGCACGTGGCTGCTGAGCCCTTGCAGCAGGTAGGACGTACCTGTGTTGTCCATGGCGTTGGAGAGCAGGTAGGAGCCTTCTGAGCTCAGGCTGAGCCCTGTCACCGAGTCTGTGTGTCCTCTCATCGTGTAAGTGAGCTTGTTCTGGCGCAGGTCCCACACCTTCACACACAACAGAACCACAGTTTAGCAAGGAGACAGCCTGGCCTGCTGGAACTGCTGGTTCCAAAGTGTTTCACACAGGTATTGATCACAGCTGACAACATCAGCTCTTGATTCCAGCTGGGGCCTGAATGGCCAGAATAAGAGGTTAGAATTTTACGTGTGTAGTAGGAAAAGTGGAATTTGCCCCTTAGAACATGTTTAACCACCAAGGAGCTATATGTCAGCAGCCCCACACATGCAGGAATCCTTTTCCATCTGGCTAGAGCTCCCCCAGCTCCCAAATTCCAAACTGATGGCACAGAGCAGTTGTTTAATCCCCTAAATTCCATGCTGTTCTCCCCCAAAGCGGGGCAGTGGGAGCAGTTCTCCTGTTGATGCTCCACTCAGTGATGGCTCTGTGACAAGCATATGCTCCCCACACCTAGGTGAGGCTGGAGCCTGAGGCTAAAGGGCCAGGAAGAGGGATTGAACCATGCAGCTATCAGGAGAATCTCAGTCACCAGCTGAATGAAACCCTGAGCTGGCTCTTAAATAAGAACTTTCCACAGTAGCAGGTGACAAAGTGAGCTGAAAACTGAAGCAAAGGACATAAGAGTGTGGATGCGTCAGCACATGTTCTTTAGTTTACCTCATATATGGCTCTAGAGCCTCCAGACTGGGCACAGGCTGCCAGAAGAGCAGCATTCCATGTCTGCTCCAGCGGATGACAGCAGCACTGGGACAACTGGCCCGGAATGCCAGGGCTGCCCAGGCTCTCACGTGGCAAAGAGCCCTGGAGCAACTCCCTCAGAGCTTACTAGCCCTAAATCAACAGCGAGGGCAGACACAGCAGGTCCACGTGGTTCTTGTGACTGTAAAATTAACCAACAGGCTTCCACAGTTGGCCTTGAGGAATGGAAGATGGGATGAGGATGGAAAAGGTGTGTGTGGCTGGAAAAGCATGTGAGGATAGGGGTGTTCTACCTTAATGTCGTTGTCGATGCCTCCGGATATGATCTGATCACTGGTGTCATTGAATGTCACAGCCAGGACCTGGTATGTGTTCTGGAACGTCTGGACAGCAGCTTTTTTCCTGATATCCCACAGCTGAAAAGACACAGCACTTGTAATGAAAGCTGCACAGAGATACGCCGTGACAAAATGACAGGCACTTGCATGGATACGTGGAAGCACAGAATGGTTTGGGTTGGAAAGGACCTGAAGATCACCACATGTGGCAGAGGCTCAGAGTGCTCTCCTGAAATTCCCTCTGTAGATCTCAGGAGGTCTCTGTAACCTTACCCCCGCCCCCCCAAGAATTACAGCAATAAAGGAGCAATGGAATTTGATTTCAATGTTTTCACTTCTGAGGACTAAGTTCTTGGCTAATGGAATGAGAACAGTGATGAAAGGCAGGATTTAGCCCACTTAAATAGGAAAACCTCCCCAAGTTCTTTCAGAGATCCCATCTTCCAGCCCTATCTCCTCCCACCACACACTGACCTTCACTGTGCCATCATCACTGCCTGTGCAGACGAGCTGGGGCCCTCGCCTTGCTGGGTAGCAGGAGTTCACAAAGGATGTGTGGCCCTTCAGCCTCTTCACCCTCTCTCCAGTCTCACTGTCCCACACGGCCACTGTTTTGTCTGTGGATGCTGAGAAGAGCATGCTGCAAAGGAGAGTCATGTGAGGATCCCAGTTTCAGGAACACTTCCCCCCTCCCCCCTTCTGAACACTCAAGTTGTGTGATCAAAGGTGAGAAGAGGCCATGGAGAGGAATCTCCTCCACACACCAAGCAAAGGCGGTGTTTCAGAGGAGGCTGACTGATGGTGGGGCAGCTACACTGGAGGCACCCCCATTTCTTGATACAAAGAAATTGGTTTTCTGCTTTCTCAAACATTACCTGGAAGGAAAACTGAGTGGCAAGAGCTCAGATCCAACAGTGGAACAGCCTTTTAAGCCAACAAATATCTTCTGAATACCAAGATTGGACTGCTTTAGCCTTATACAAATATCTCACTCACGTTCCTTCCCTCCCCAGTGTCTCCCAAATGACCAACATTAACTTTCCTCTGCTCCTCCAGACCAAAATCAAGGGCACCAGTGGGGAACATCCCTTGCTCAAGCCCAAGCTGGCACCATTCCTTATCTGGGAAAGCCACACCACAAGCACTGGCCGTATGAGGACCAAGCAGGGGAATGTGGTGGGACTCCAGCCAGCAGAAAGCACCTTCAGAAAGAGCTGGGACTGAGGGCAAGTGCCACCACACCAGCTTACCTGCCATCAGTGTTGTAGTGCAGCTCCATGACTGCCCCGCTGTGTCCCTTCAGGGTGGCGTAGTTATCACAGTCCCCGTAGACATTCCACAGCACTGGGAGAAAAGGGAAGGAATTGGGAAGAAGAGGAAGGATGGAAACAGCTCCCTGCTTTGAGTGGCTGGTCTCCAGGAATTCAGCAAAACGAGCTCTGTTATCATCAGCACAACCATCCCCAATAGGGATGAACAGCAACAAAGAGCGAGTCCTGGAAGGGCAGAGCTGATTTATGGGTTTAGGTCAAGCTGAATTAGGAAGAAAATAATTTCATCTCAGCAACCCACAGCATTAAAGATTGTGTTTCTACAGGGTGCTGCAGTCACAGATGGGCACACCAGGCCAAGACCAGCCCCTTCCAAGTGTCCTGGTTTTGGCTGGGATAAAGAACCATGGAATGGTTTGTGTTGGCAGGGAGCTTAAAGCTCATCCAGTCCCAAACCCCTGCCCCGGGCAGGGACACCTTCCACTAGAGCAGGTTGCTCCAAGCACCTGTGTCCAACCTGGCCTTGAACACTGCCAGGGATGGGGCAGCCAAACCTTCTCTGGGCACCCTGTGCCAGCGCCTCAGCACCCTCCCAGGGAAGAGCTTCTGCCTCAGAGCTCATCTCAACCTCCCCTCTGGCAGGTTAAAGCCATTCCCCTTGTCCTGACCCTACAGGTCCTTGTCCAAAGCCCCTCTCCAGGTTTCCTGGAGCCCCTTTATGTTGTTGCCCCAGAGCTGGATCAGGGCTGCAGGGGGGGTCTCCCCAGAGCACAGCAGAGGGGGAGAATCCCCTCCCTTGAGCTGCTGCTCAGGCTTCTTCCTCACAGCCCTAAGGTGAAGCTCATGACCCAGTAAACTGAGGTCCTGATGCACAAGCCCCAGCCCCACACAGGCAGCACTGGCTGGGACCCTGGAGCCTGGTACTCACGGATGAGCCTGTCGAAGCCGGCAGAGGCGAGTGTGTTGCCGTTGGGGTGGAACTTGCAGCAATACACCTCCCCCTCGTGCCCTGAGAGTAACATGATGGGTGCCTGCAGCGAGGAGCAGCGCGGGGGGCCCTGTGGAGGCAATGGGGAGAGGGCGGTGAGAACCAGAGAATCAACCAGGTTGGAAAAGACCTTC